TCTTTTTCGTTGCTACCATTGTCTGATTTTGTTGTACTTCTCTTCTGGCTACTAGATAAGAGGAAAACTAGGAGCAGTGAAGGTAGATGGGTTTTGGACAGATTTGGGAACCCCTTTTTATTCTCCTCTGCGCCCAGATCTTCTTATTTCTTTGCTCTGTAGCTTCCTTAATTTTTTTGTTGAGGAATCCCCACCCTCCTTCGGAAACCAAACAAGCCAGAATCTAAGTCAATGCCCCACGGTGGGCGCCAATTGTTTGTACCACCTGGCTCGAGGTATGAACAATGATATTTGTTGGTGTGGGGTTGACTCACGATCCGTTCGTTTGATCTCGTCAAGAGGGAAGAAACCTATGAAAGAGCCGGGGATGCCCCCAGATTAAGCTCCGACAATCAAGTCAGTATATTGTGTAGAATGAGTTGAGAGAATAGATAGAGAGATAAAGTGTAGAGAGATAGCGGAAAGTGGGAAGTGAGGAGAGAGAAGAAGAAATGCCCCTTTCCCTTGGAGGGTTTCATACCTTTATATACTCGTAGCGGGTTTCGAGCGTCATACGTTATCGATTGGATTACTTAGTCTATGCGCGTAGTATCTTAGTAATACCCCCAACATCAATAAATTGGTACGGGTCTTAATAGTCATTGTCCGATCCTCACCCCGCACCTACAAATAGGTGGCCAAGATCACGTGACTAAAGGGTCCCCTTTTTGCTTCCCCGAGAGAAAGAAAGAGAGAGAGAGAGAGAGTTTTCCAACGATGTTTTTCCGGCGACCAAAGATCGTGAATGAGAATTTTCCGACAATAGTGTTAGATTTGTGATGTTTGTCAACCTACTTTGTAATGTTTATAAGTCCGATTTGTAATGTTTATATCATTTTCGGTTTAAATTGTTTGTCATTTTTATCTATCATGTTAGTAATGTTTATGTGACTAATTTGTATATATTGTAATTTGTAATGTTTGTTTGTGTATTTTGTATACTATGTATTTATTGGTTTGTAATTCCAGTTTATCAATTTGTATTATAAGTAGTGGTGTTTTGTATTGTTAGTATAGTTTGTACTGTTTGTTGGTTTATTTTGTAATGTTTGTAAGCTTTGTTATGTTTGTAATGTTTGTTGGTTTCTTTTGTAATGTTCGTAATTTGTGTTCACCGTGTTTGTCATTTTTGTCGGTCATGTTTGTAACATTCGTATACTTCTGATTTGTATGTTTTGTATTATTGGTTTGTATTGTAAGTAGTTGTATTTTGTACGGTTAGTATTATTTGTATAATTTTATGATATGATCACTGATTTATATACATTGTAATATTAACTTGTATACTTTTATGATGTGGTCTGTATACTTTGTAATACTTAGTAGTGATTTCTTTTATTTCAGTAATCTTTATATATAATATTATCTTGATTTGTATACTTGTATTATGTGGTTCTAATACTTTTTTAATATTACTTTGTATATTTTTAAATTCTTTGATTTTTATTTTTAAAATAAAAAAACTGATAAGAAAAGAAACCAAGGAAACACACGTGCATGAGTGGGACCGGGAAGTTTAAAAATCACTTATTAAAGGAAAAGTCAGTTTCGATAAAAAAAGCCAGCTAAATTGTATTAAAAAAAAGGAGACGTGCGACATTTATTCGTGAGCGAAAAAAAATAAAGAAAAAGGATATAAGTTTTTTATAATACCACAACTACCCTTTTCATTAATTAAATATCCCTTCCCACTTTTCAACCTTTAGATTAGGATATCTAGATCTAAGGGCTAGGAGTGGCTTAGTCACTTGGCTAACACCACCCCTAGTCACAGGATCCGCACTCACAAATGGGTTTATCCTTTCCTGGACAGAATGGACTATGAATACTAAATTACTATCAACCCATGTATTCACGCTCGTTTGGATAATCATCGTTCAAGGGATGTTTGGAAGGCCACAAGATACATATTATTTATGATCACTTGTCATTTTTTATTTTGTTAACGTAATTTATCGGTTTGTAAAATAAATATGTTAATTGTTAATCGTATTGATTATTTTCAATCATTTAAATCAATACAATGTGTCACTTAATTAGACTCTTTATAAATAAATGCATGCCTAAGAAAATGGGGCTTTAAGCGATCATCATGATCCTCCCATTTCATGGGAAAATTGGGTTCTAAGCGATACTCAGATCCCGCCTTTTTTCTGTAAAAAAGGCTGTGTTTATAGGGAGATGTATACTTCTCCTAAGAGTCTTACGAGTGTATTTGTATTGTTTTAAATTATTGAAAATAATCTATACGAAGTACAAAGTAATATATTTGATTTTATGTGTATGCGTACAAAATTAATTTTGTTTAAATTTTGAAAATGATATTCATGTTAGTTAATTATTTTATTACGCTTAATATGTTTGTTTTTTAAATTATTTATATTCTTGGATAAAAAACCTTGATTATGTTAATTGATATTGTTTGTTATCATAGATTTATATATGTATAAATCATAAACTTATAGTGAAAGTTAAATTCTTCACTAGGATGCATACCATATAGTCCGCAATAGGGGTACGACCAATGTGCTCACATGGAACGACGTCATCTTGCCCTTTCTAAGAAGGGCAAGATTGGATCCCGTAAGGCACTTTAATGGGATAAAGATCGACCGCCAAATCATCACGACATTTGTGGAGAGATGGCGAAAGGAGACACATTACTTTAACTTTCGTGAAGGCGAGTGCACCATCAAACTTAAGGACATCGCCATCCTAACCGATTTGCCCATCGATGGCGATGTTATTTGTGTGGACTCTACCCCACCACATAAAATTGTTGCGAATATGAGTGGTTGACACCATTTCATATGGAGCACCACAAGGTTGGTACCTCCAGAAAAGGGAGACCACGATGCGGATGGTCATCCACCATTGTCTAAGGGCCAAGTATCCATCACTTGGTTGACAGCGGAGATCATGCGTAAGCACTCTCGTCCTAATTTTGTTCGAATTGATTTTGTGTTTGCATTTACAAATTCTTGACTTTAAAATCAGAGAAAACGGTTGATCATAATAGAAAGAAGTAAAATTTTATGGTCAAGAAAACATCTCCTTTTCCTAGGCTCAAGTTAGGGTGCATAACCCATCAATAACCAAATCTGGACCCTTCATTTAGAAAATCCAGATCTAAGGATGGAGAATTAAAGTCATTTTTATTTTCAGTAGCTTTCTTAATTGACTCATACATTTTTCGTTTTAACTCGAATTTTAATTTTTTTGCACAGATGGAACGAGTTCACCGTGCTCTACAAAATGAGATCAATTTTCAATATTTTTTGAGGAAAAAAAAATTCTGGCCTCTCGGTACCAACTGCATACCATATGGTATCTTCTTCGTTTTTAATTCATTTTTGAAAACGTTTGCACAGCAGGGACGAGTTCATCATGATCTATTGGATCTACAAATTTCTGGGTGAACAAATTACAAAAATTACCACACAATACCATACAATACCACCCTGGTACGGGGTGGTATCTTATGGTATACAATGTTAAAAGTCGTAAATGACAATTAATATACTTCTACTATCATGTATTCAACCATCCTATAGTTTTAATTTGTGTCATACCACCATGGTACGCTTTTCAAACCACAGGTATGCTCTTATTTCAATACCAGTCAATACCATATGGTATAGACTGGTAAAAAATGGCTCAATTTTTTTGTTCGAAAAATATATCAAAATGGATATCATTTTGAAGAGCACAATTAATCTGATCAAACTGTGCAAAAAAATTAAATTTCAACTTAAAACGAGTGAGAAATTGTCCGTCAAAGATTAAGGAGGGGAAAATTAAAGACTTTCCATGAGAGAGAGGATGCTGATGTCATGCTGATGTGGCGGGTTACTCATAGTTACTCACCATAAGGTTACTGACCTGATCCGTTCCCTTTTCCTATTTTCGGTTTCAAATCTTTTTAATAACAAAAATAAAATTAATTGGGATTTAAAGAAGGTTACATATTTTTATATATTTAAGAGAAAAAAAAAATACCCTCGACCTTTCGTAAATGTAGACAATCAAGTATATATATAGACATATATTATGTTGGTACAAAATTTATCACGATGATACCACTTATTCGTTGTTAGTTGAACGAGCCCTAATAGACCTCAACGGTCAACATCTCTTGGTACCTTGTTGGGTAAACTAGCAGAAATGAACAATAGAATAATTAGTAGTATGTTGTTTCTTGTGGTGATAGATAAGTCTTTCATTTTTTGTCTAATACTCTTGTAAATTTGTCAAGGTTTTAGTCGAAGACAGTTCTCTTTAAGATAGAACCTTATTATTTCTATATATATAGTTACGTCTTTGGACCTTGGTGCGCTCACTTTTTTGGGTGCATTCAATGCACTCACTTCATAATTGTCATTCTGAGCAAGCGATTCATGTCAAGACAATGCTAATCATCACGTATGATACGGTGAACAAGAAACTCCATAAATTAGCACAAAAATTATTCTAAATTTACATTAATTTGAAGGAATTATGGTTTATGGATTTAGGGTTAGGGTTCATGATTTGGGGTTTAGGATAAAAGTTCAAAGTTGAAGGTTTAGGACTTAGGGTAATGCATTGATTAGTTGTGATCTTATGTTATATCATCATATATATTACACAAATCATGCTAATCAAATTCAAAATTGATGTCTTAAGGCTACTTTTAGAGTTAGGTGCATTGAATGCACTAATTTTTGTGAATGCACCGAAGAAGTAGCCACCTATATATATATATATAAATAATAAGTGTCATATTAGATTACCCAAACTTGGACTATGTAGGTATCCTCCCAACCTGAATTTTTATAGGTAATGGAGATGACCTACTTATCACACACAATCTCACTATTCTTTCCTCGACCATACCTATATATAAACCCTCCACCTCTGAAACCTTTTCCTCCATCATTTGCACCAACAAAACCCAAAACCTCCTGCGTACACATAGATAGCTAGACACCTCCACCAAGTCCAAATCTAGACATGGCTTCTTCTTCCAACTTGTTCCTCTTTGCTCTCGGCCTCGCAGTCACATTCTGCAACATGGAGAATGGAATGGCGGCTCGACAGCTCCTCCAACTGCCGAAACCCGCAGCACTGCCTCCGATGCCCACCATCCCATCCCTGCCGTTCGGAGGAGCATTGCCACCACTCCCCAGCGCCGGCGCAATTCCCACCTTGCCGCAACCAACACTGCCGCCGCTCCCCAGCGCCGGCGCCATTCCCACCATGCCCACAATTCCTTCCATGCCAAAGGTTTCTCTGCCGCCACTGCCTAGCGGTTTTCCAGCCATTCCTTCCATCCCCGGCCTTACCCCGGCGGGCCCTGGAAACTGAGCGTAGTACATGAAGTTGGTGGATATCATTGTGTCTCGGAGTTTGAGGATATATATGTTGCTTGTCTAGAGGGCTCATTGCTTGTTTGTATTCTGATTGTTATTCGAGTTTCTTGGTTGTATATTTGTTTGTACTATTGTATCTTCTTCTTCATCACTCGAATCACTTGTCCATTTCTCAGTTACTACACTTTTTATGATATTTTAACATGTGATTTTTATTGGATTTCTCTCATTTTGGGCTTGGCATGACAACGAGTGGTTATGAGGTTGGATAGGGGTTATCTGATTATTGCCTGCACCAACAAATGGGTTTTACCCTTCCTACTCCTAAGCCTGTCTGGAATGAGCTATAAATACTAAATTACTATTCATCCCTGTATGGGTTTGGGTATTCCTCGATTGGTCGATTTTTTTTTTTTTTTTTGATAGGACGACTGGTCGGATTTTACCTGTCACACTCAAATAATAATTGAAACCTTCATTGAAACTAAAAAACAAAAATTACAGTCAAATGTTCCATTGGATCCCGACCATAGGTGTTTTTCCAACACAATTTACTAACAAATCATATTAGGCAAACACATAAAAGTGCATGAAACATGAGTTGGAAAAATCTAATGCAATTGTCTTACTACATAAATAACAGTAGTTATGAAACTATACTGTAGCGACGGCCCAATCGAAAAATCTCTTATCGGAGGCTAAACTAGTGTGTGGATTTATGTTAGAAACCCACCTTTTGGAGGATTTTGGTTTTTGGACACATTCGTCGTTTTATTTATGTTTTTCTGAGTTTGGATGATTATTTGGAGGGTTTTGAACATACATGGCTAGCTATAATGTATCGGGGGTAAATCTAGTGATCAAACTTGGCATTTACCCATACTATCCAAAAAGAAGAGAGATTATTGTTACCTACCAAATTACAACTTAGTCACTATAATGTACGTTTTACATTATGATACCCCAAATTTAATTAAATCATAATTTTGTCACTATAATTTATGTTTTGGTATCTAAATTTTATGAGATTTTCGTACTTACAATTTTTATACATAAAAATATAAATTTAGTTTGTATCACTCAAATGTAGAAGGTTTGACCATTTTATATTTCCATAACCTTTTCGTTATTTCTTTCTTTGCCTTCTTCGTCTAACCCTAATTAGTATACTATTTTTATGTATTCTAATCACAAGTATGAATGGGTCCATACACGACTCACCAACAGTCTAGAGAATTAATAATTGAACCATGAACCACTAACTTTTTCAGATCAATCTCGAGTTCAATTGAAAATAAATATATATGGTTATTACTTATTAAAAAGTCGTTATTTTCCACTATGAGATTTGAAGGCGTGAAATTTTAAGAGAGTTCCAGTTTGTATTCATTTTGCTTCTCACTAGAGTTTTTCTTTTTCACCTATGCTAGAATTTTCAACAATTATACATGTAATGATTGGCTAGGTATCTACACATATCAAATAAATAGCTTCCATTTTTCTGTAAAACAAGTAAATAATTATCATCTTAAATACCTCACCGTAAAAGGAATTAAGCCTCAGCTAGGCAAATTAGGGTTCAGTACCTAAACTTAATAAATTATTAGATTTATAACCTAAATTTTTTTGGCATATAAGTCCTCAAAATATTGATGAAACATAATATTTTAGTACTTAAAATTTTTGTGTATTACATTTTGCTACCTAAACATTTGAAGTTCTACAAATAAGTCTAATTTTTGTATTTGTAATTAAAACACCCTCGAATAAATGGGTCCATACCCAACTCATACACATTTAGATTATGAAAGTAAGTATCCATACCTTACTCAAACTCATCTACAAATTTACAAACCCATATATACGTCACTCATACCCTACCCATATTCAATCGGTCCACTTGGCTTTAGCTAAATATTATTTATTAGTCAAAATTTTCTAAAAAAATTAAATTGGATGTTCACTGCCATATATCTCTTCTCAGTCAATAAGACTAATAAAACCGTTAACAAAAAATTAATTTTAGACTAATAATAGTAACAAAATACTATAACAAGCAGCATAATACATGTCATAAACCATCCCCGCTCTGTTACAAGGTGCGGCATCGCCACCTAGTATATATTGTTTCTTGTGGTGATAGAGAAGTCTTCATTTTATTGGTCCAACACTCGTACTTGTAATAATTTGTCAAGGTTTAAGTCGAAGACAATTCTCTTTAGGATAGAACCTCATTATTTATATATATATATATATATATAAATCAATGTCATATTAGATTGCCCAAACTTGACCATGTATCCTCCCAAGCAGCATTTATATGGGTAAAGGAGATGACCTACTTATGACACCCAATTTCACAACTCTTTTCTCGACCATACCTATAATTTCACTGGCTACATGGTATATAAACCCCCACCTCTGAAACCTTTTCCTCCATCGCTTACACCAACAAAACCCAAACAAAATAACCCTTCCAAACCTCCTCCATACACATATATAACTAAACACCTCCACCAAGTCATATCAGACATGGCTTCTTCTTCTTCCAACTTCTTCCTCGTTGCTCTCATCCTGGCCGTCTTATTCTGCAACATGGAAAATGGAATGGCGGCTCGGCAGCTCCTCCAACTGCCAAAACCCACAGCACTGCCTCCTATGCCCACCATACCATCTCTGCCGCTACCAACTCTCCCAACCGGAGGATTGCCGCCGCTCCCTAGCGCCGGCGCCATGCCCACCCTGCCGTCCGGAGGAGGATTGCCGCCACTCCCCAGCGCCGGCGCCATTCCCACCATGCCCACAATTCCTTCCATGCCAAAGGTTTCTCTGCCGCCACTGCCCAGCGGTTTTCCAACCATGCCTTCCATCCCCGGCCTTACCCCGTCGGGTCCCGGAAACTAATCAGTGAAGTAGCACGCGAAGTCGGTGGATAATATGTCATTGTGTTTTGGTGTTTGAAGATATATGTTGTTTTTGTCTAGAGGGCTCATTGTTTGTTTTTGTTCTGATTGTTGTTTGAGGTTCTTGGCTTGTATACTTATTCCTACTATTGTATTTGTATGCATCACTCCGTTTTTCAGGTACTTTTTGAGTTTATATTACTTCCTTTATGTTTCGTGTACATGTGATTTCAATTGGATTTTTCTCATTTTTTGGATAAAGCCATATAAGCTCTCATAAATGTTGACCCAACCATACTCAATACTCAATAGGTAGTTGCGGTAGTGTTAGTGTGTGGTATATGATTTATAATTGAAATTTTTCCAACAATTCAAGTTATTGGGATCAACTGGTTTATGACATGGTATCAGAGTCTTATGTGACCGAGAGGTCTTGTGTTTGAATCCTGGTAACCCCCATTTGTTAAGCACATGGTATGTGGACATGTGCCAATTTCAAACCCTTGTGATCTGGCCCAAAAAGCCGAACCATATGAGATGACTTGATGGATCTTGATCCTACACTCATATGAGATGACTTGATGGATCATAATGATGCAAACATCCCGATGAAATATGTAACGGACTGCATTGAGGCTAGGAAGAAGGCGTTTCACATTTCCCGCTTAATTTCGAGACTTCGGCTAAATTACACCTTTGGTCACTCAAATTATATAATTTTTTCATATTTTTCATCCGAATCACTTTTCTTTCTTATTCGCCACTAACTTTAGAAATTGTTTCACCATTAGTCACTGACCGTTAATCAAATTGCGAATAACCTCCACTGACGGTGGTTCGATTTCTCCCGTCGGCAGCGTTCACCCCTCGTCTGGGTTCCTCAGCTCTACCACGACGAGTTTGAGCGACTATAGGAATTCCTAGGATTCCAAGGACAAGAAGGGCGGTAACGGCGGCGAAGGGGGGCGATCGTTATCGTTGGCCAACCTAAACGTCTCTGTTCCTGACGAAAACAACCGAAGCTCATCATCCTCCGTCGGGTGCCACGCTACACCTATGTCGATGAAAGGGAAAAAAATCAGAGACCGTAAGGGAGGCAGAGAAGAGGGGAATTATAATTATTATTATTATTATTATTATTATTATTATTATTATTATTTGAAAGGGAGAGGGAAAGTTCATGGTGTTGCGGCCACCCTATCCAGTGTTAATTAATATACTTTATTTTTGTAATTTTTTATTTGTTTAAACTGAGATGTCATTAAATTAACGATTCAGTCAGCAATTCTGTTTTAACCTCATCAAAAAATTGACGGAGTTAACGGAGACTAACGACCAGTGACTAGAATGAAATTATTTATAGAATTAGTGGCAAATAAGAAAGAATTAAAGTGATTCAGGTGGCAAACGTGAAAGATTTATGTAATTTGAGTGATCAAACATGTAATTTAGCCCGAGACTTCAATAACCATTTCAGTTGAACGACTCCAATTTATAGTCATCGATATTAGCGGCTAAAAAATAATTAGGGAGTTGAGTTGGGTTGGGTTTCTCTAAACTCAAATTCAACTCAACCGGTGTATTAATAAAAAAAACCTGTGTAAAATACTACTTATTGGGTTTTCAAAGTGAAAACTCAATCCAATCCAACGAGTTCTCACGGTGTACTAGTATCCATAGAATATTTTTTCCAACACTAATATATCCTAATGTTTTCGAAATTTTCTCTACAAATTAAATATATCTCAATAAAAACTAACGACATCTATCAATTATTCACATTATTAGGTTTATATTTAAATAAAAACTACAAATATTCATAAATTATTTATATCATTCTGATTATATACAAGATGGTGTAATTTTTTTATGGGTGCATGTAGGGTGGAAAGCGGGTAGGGTTTTCGTAAAACTCAAACCCAACCCGTCAATTTCAAAAGCGGGTAAAATCCACGCACATCCGGCCAAAATCCCGTCAACTTAGATTTTACCTGTTTTGGTTGGGTTGGATTGGATACTCATGGGTTCAGGTTCAATTGTCGAATAATGTTTATGTTTGTAATGCCCTTTAATAAACAGACGCGTGTAACGCATATTTGTGAATTAGTTTGAACCGATATAAAACGACTTAGCTGCTTTTTGTATCTTCCTTCACTACAAGAAAATCTAGTTTTAGAGACAAAGGTTATTTGCTTCAAAATGACAGTTATTTGCTTCTGTACATCTATCATAACAAATACTTTATTTGCATCGGACGCCTCTGTCTCTAATTCCTTTTAGAGGCAGACGTAGAAGCAATTAATATTTGCTACTAATTAAAGAATTGGAGGCAAATATATTTGATGCTAATTCTATTTTTAAAGTATACTTTCATAGTCTTATTTATTTTTAGAGGGATAGACATTTGCTTGTAATTTAAGTTGTCGAGGCAAATACATTTGCTTCTAAACGATTTTATGGAGACATATATATCTGTCTCTAATAAGTATATTTGGCGGCAATTAATTTTATGGACTATTTTATATTTGTACACGTTATTTGTACTTGAGATCTCAATGGACCACTAACAAGATTTTAATTGTTGATTGAATTTATTAGTATATTATATTAATAAGAATGATCGAAAAATAACTATAAATTGTACGAATAAATATAAATATTATTCATATGTTTCCTTTCGCAGAATACATTATAAGCACAAAGTAAAATACACTTTGTAATACATACATACTCCGCAAAACAAAACAGTAGGTAATAACTAGAATATTTCATTGACTATTCTGGACAAAAGATGCATTGTCGTTGAGTTGTACAGTGTATCAAGATCGATCTCTATATCCATCCATTTATTCACTGCTTCACAGTTGGCATCAACATCAACTCTTTCAATCGTCTTCCCTTGACCTAAGCACCTCCACAAGCCCTCATAGTCACGCCTAATCAAGAACAAAACTGAGATAGGAATTAAAAAAATAATATACGGTAAATAATATATTAACCTACACACAGCAAAATCACTACTCTTCCACGAAAAAAAAAAGAAAAGAAAAATCACTACTCTAGAGAAGTAAGGAACAAAAGATAGACATACCTTTTATAGGGAGTGTAACAACAAAGTTGAGTTGGGGGAAAATGAAACCCTAAAGTCTTGGGTGTTTCTCATTCATCTTTAGGTTTAAATAGTCCAAGAGTGACACTACATGACAAAGGTGTGCCACCTTGCTTTTGAAGAACAAAAGATAAAACATAACTAAAACTAAAGTCTAAACTCAACATTGACATTAAACTAAACTTGATGATGATGATTTCCTCTAAACCTTGTCGATCCACTTTGACATTCATGGTCGCCGGTTTGAGTCTTGACGATAACTTGAAATATCTCCTGATACCCCCCCACAAGCGGGTGAGCACAGAATGTGCACACCAAGCTTGGAGAGAATACAGTCTGAACTTGAGAATGTTGCTGCACTGTTGGCTAGCTAACTTCTCTTCAATCTTCAAATGGTGAAGCTGCTGCATCTTGCTAGCTAACTTCCCAAACATCTTCTGAAAAGCTGCTGCATCTGTGGCTAGCTAGCTATGAAAACTTCTTCTTCTTCAACCGGTGATACCACTGCAGCTTTGGCTAGTTGACATCCCATCTTGATCTTCTTCTTCTCTTCTTCACCTTCTCTTCTTCTTCTTCAACTCCTCAACCCCCAACTCAGCTTTGTAGCTTGAGTTTCTCCAATTGAACTCGGATAAGCCGCTGCATTTGTAGCTAGCTAGCTTTCCGGTATTCTTCTTCAACTCCTCAACCCCCAACTTCAGCTAGATAGCTTCAGTTTCTCCAGTTTTGATAGGATATGCTGCTGCTTTTTCTTGGCTAACAAGCACTCCTTCAATCGAAAACGCCGCTGCATCTTGGCTAGCTGGCTCAACTTTCTCATCTTCAGCTTTTCTGCTTTAGATGGATCTTCAAAGTGGTCCGGATATGTTGCTGCTTATTTTGCTAGCTAACATTCCATCCGAAATATGGGCCGGATATGCTGCTGCTGATTTTGCTAGCTAGCATTCCATCCGAAAAACAATATGAAATCAGCAGGGGAGTGCTCGGTTGGCTACTTCCCTCTACTCCTTCAACTTGAAGAGGATATGCTGCTGCTTCTTTAGCTAGCAAGCATTCTAGAAAATTTTGATTTCAAACTCAACAGGGGAGTAAGCTTCTTCCCGCTGCTGCATCATCTCAGGCTGCTGCCTTCACTTCCACTTGCTGAAACAGAAACAAGGACTGGTGCTTGTGACTGCTACTGCTGAAAACCTGTTTTTTTCTTCGGATTGCAGTTTCTTTTTTTTTTTTTTTTTTTTTTTTGAATGTGCTGCCCCTGAACTTGCAGCACCTTTCTTCTTTATTTGTTGCTTTCTTTGTCAAACTCAGAGCTGGGAAGTTGAGATTCTTGCTGTGCAGGAGGTAGCAGTGGCTTCGCCTTCCCACACATTCATGAAACTCAGCATAAAATCATTCAATCTTTTGATACCCTGCAAAGAACAAATCTGGCCAATCTGCCCACTCTTCACAGGCTCAATCACATTCTCACAAAAAATCTGCTCAAAGACAACCTTCAGAGCTTCCATTTCATTCACTGTAATGAACTTCATCCAAACAGAATCTCTAACTTGACCAACAACTCTATTATCGGCAGTTTTCTTCTTCTCGTTCAATAGGGAAATTCCAAACTCTGGTTTAACGAACTCACCTCCCTCTTCTGGGTATTCCCCAGTGACTGTGAAGTACATTTCCTTGTGCCCTGTAATCATCCGTCGCCACAAACTGTTGATATTGAACATCAACTCTTCCTGTTTCTTCCTCTGGGATATGGCTCTGGTCGCGGTAGACAGCTTCTTCACGAGCTGTATTTCGACAGCAGAAATCACGGGATGCATCTGGAAGACGGTTCCAGTTCTGTCTTCACCGGACTGAGTACGAGCACTGGGGAGAGGAGGATGCTGGGCGTGGATCTTGTTCGGTGCAGCCGTTCTCAGTGGCCTGCGAATCGACGGCCACCGAAAGCAAATATGGAACTCGATCTGGGTTTTTGGATATGGGTGGGAGAGGCGATGCAGAAAGAGAGTGAGGGCCGGGAAAGAGAGATCAGAATGATGGAAGTGGTTTCGGCACAGGGAGAACGGAATCGATGAAGAAACGATTTCTCGATCTGGGAAATTTCGGGGAAGACGAAGGTGGAGTGGTGGTGGTGCTGATTTGCGGCGGAGGATGGAAGGGTTTTGGTTGAGTTGGGGTTTCCTCACGGAGAGTGAGATAGCGAAGCGGAATAGATGGGGGAATGGATTTTTCTGGGTGACTGCGAAATAGAATTGATCTGCTGGGAATGTAACAGAGGAGTAGATATATTTTTGATTTTTAGGGTTTATGATCTGAAATTTTCAGATCATGGACATGGTCCTTATTTTTGTGGGTGAAAGGTTTTTAGCGTTCTCTTGGATCTAGAGGCTCTGATACCATAACAACAAAGTTGAGTTGGGGGAAAATGAAACCCTAAAGTCTTGGGTGTTTCTCATTCATCTTTAGGTTTAAATAGTCCAAGAGTGACACTACATGACAAAGGTGTGCCACCTTGCTTTTGAAGAACAAAAGATAAAACATAACTAAAACTAAAGTCTAAACTCAACATTGACATTAAACTAAACTTGATGATGATGATTTCCTCTAAACCTTGTCGATCCACTTTGACATTCATGGTCGTCGGTTTGAGTCTTGACGATAACTTGAAATATCTCCTGATAGAGTGGATCATATATGTCTTCACTACCCCTTCGCATATACAACAACAAACAGATCTAATTATAAGTTTATAACTCTAAGAGCATGAGAACACAGAAGCGGCAACAGTGCAGTTCTTCAGGCAAGAAGAAGACAAGCGGCGGCGCTTTGTGTGGAAGAGAAGCCGATGTACGATTGTGATTATGGAAAAGAGGTTGCTACTCATGTCGAAGAAAGAAAACAGGAGGTGGCGTTGCATCGACGATAGAACTAAAGATATCAGCAAAATATGCATCTGATTTGACAATAGCAATGGTAACACAATAAAAAAAAAACCCAGAAAGAAAGCTCCAACGATGGAGTGTGCATAGTAGAATAGAAGGAAGAAAAAGAATAATTTAGAAGAGGACTACAGGAAACGAGAAGGAAGATTAAAAGTGGCCGACAGAGAAATAAGAGATAGTCTCTAGGGTTTTCATTTATTTGTAGATGAATGGACGGTAGGGATTAGAGTACTGAACGATTGAGATTTGCCTTAAATTAATTAATGCCACTAATAGAGGGAGGAAAAGTTTTTGTTTTACGTGGTGCTGTTGTTGATAATAAGAAAAGTTCTTCATGACCCTTAAAAATCTCACCCACGCCACTTTTTTCCTTTTTTATTATTGTCATTAAAGATAATCCTTAGTTATCCTCCTTTCCTTTTACTTCCTTTTTCAAATAAATTAACATATATTCTTGTGCGAAACTTTATCTACGATAGAGATTTATATTTGTCTCTGAAAGGGGATTGGAATAGTATTCACATTTTATCTTTTCATAATTATAAAGCATTTATATTTCTCTCTAAAAGCAATTCATTTGTCTCTGTTATAACAACACTATATGTAATATTTGTATTTGTCTCTAAAAGTTGTTAGATTTGTTTCTATATAACTTAAGTTTAGGATACACTTATATATATTTGCTTCTAAAACTATTATTTTATGTAAATAAAAAATTCCTATTATGAAATAAAGACAAATAATATGAGATAGAGAGACAAATAATACATTTGCGGCCATAAATTAGATATAGAGACTAATGCAATATTTGTTTCTAATTATTTGTCTCCAAAGCCAAGTTTTCTTGTAGTGCTTGCAAGTTGTCACACCTCTCATTTTCACCAAGGCAGATGAAGAGGCAACTACCAGGAATTTTATGCCAACGCTCATGTCCGCCGGGTCGATTATTGTGCGGACCTCATGGAGGTAGGCACCGTGACTACTAAGAGTAGGATGAGTATTTAGTTGCTTTCGCTTTACCTCACAATAATCATATATCGTGCTCTTGTCCTCTTCATATACCACAACGTAAAAGAATTGGATAAATGATGAAAATCATAAATAATTGTTTTCGTTACTTACGTTGAGAGTGATATTTTTAGGAGATCGGATGTGAATATATTTTAACTGAATATTTTTCAAAACATGAAAATATGTTGTAACATTATTGTAAAACATTAATACGAGTTATATTATATATATTTTTTCTTTTACGTTGGACATACCATAGCAAATTCGTGCCAACACCACTAACTATCATGAATATAGAATAGAACCGTATTGAGCTTTTATTATATTGCTCTTGTCCTGATGTATCTTTTGATGGGATCCTAACGGTGAAGCACCTATCTCAACCTAGAGTTGGAAAGTTCGCGTTTAGCGGAAGGCCCTAGAGATAGAGATTATGTAACCTGAGCTGAGCTGAGAGCTGAGACGTAGGGATGATAAAAATATATGCAATCGTGGATATCCACTCGAATTCGATCTAATCGGATAGGATAAAACTCGAATTTAAATGACTTTTAGCGGGTATGAGTAAAATCCGAACCCGAATATTGCGGGTAATGGGTGGACATGGTTTTCTCACTATCCAATCCGAACCCGCCCGATTATACACATGAAGTCATGCATATGTATTTTGTCTAGAAATAATCAATATTTTGTCTAATATATTTTATATTTAGCATATAAATATAATATTTTTATGAAATTGTGTTGATTTAATTAATTTTCTTCATTCTAGTGAGTTATTGTCGTTCTTTTCGTCTTGCGTAACTTGAGAATACGTGTGAATATTAATATATTGGTTGGAGTAATAAAGAGAAACTATTACCCATGGATACCCGAAACCCGAACGGGTATGGGCACCGTTTGAATTTTCTACCTGTTTCTTATACGAGTATGGGCGTGTGTAAAACCCGAATTACTTTGGATAGGATAATGAATATGCACTATATATCCGTCCCCAACCCGACCCATTACCATCCCTACTGAGATGCATAGAATAGAATAAAGACTTGTCATGGGTATGACTAATGAGGTAGAAAACTTGGTTATAATTTAATGCAATTCCCCCAAAACTAGCTAGTCACATATTAGATTACCGAAACTTGGACATGTACTAGACTTTTTTCATAACCAACCCTACCTACCTGCAGACTGCAGTACCAGTTTTATGGGTAAGGAGGCGAACTACTTACTAATCACACACGACTCAACTGTTTCTCGACCACACTAACAATTTCACTGCGCCTATATATAAATCCACCACCTCTGGAACCTTTTTCATCCATCACTTGAACCAACAGATTCCAAACAAAAGAACCCTCCAAAACCTCCTCCACGAAATCAAATCAAATCAAATCAAATCAAGACATGACTTCTTCGTCGAAGTGCTTCCTCTTTGCTCTCATCCTCGCCGTCACATTCTGCAACATGGAACATGGAATGGCGGCTCGACAGCTCCTCCAACTGCCACAACCCACAGCACTTCCTCCTATGCCCACAATCCCATCTCTGCCGCTACCAACCGGAGGAGGATTGCCGCCACTTCCCAGCGCCGGCGCCTTGCCCACCCTGCCGCAACCAACTCTGCCGCCGCTCCCCAGCGCCGGTGCCATTCCGACCATGCCCACTATTCCTTCCATCCCAATCCCAAAGGTTTCTCTGCCGCCGATGCCTAGTGGTTTGCCAACCATGCCTTCCATCCCCGGCCTTACCCCGGCGGGCCCCGGCAACTGAATGAACTAAGTAGTGGATATCATCATATTGTCTTTCAGTGTTTCAGTTGTTATGTCTTGGGAGTTGGGATTGCTTGTCTACAAGGCTCATTGTTTGTTTCTATGTTCTGATTGTTATTTGAGTTTCTTGGATTGTATCGTTTGCCCGCTTCTCAGTTACTTTTGAGTTAACCGCATGATACTTTTACATATATGATTCTAATGGTTTTCTATCATTTTTTGGTTAAGCGACAAGATCAAGTTGATAGATGTCGATTCAACTCACATGCTAGTAACTTTGAAACTGATAGGTATAGCACAACGTAACATTTACATGCAAAATCACTTGCCTCCATTTTAATCACTAAACTATTATTGCCCTGACACACAATTGTTTGAGACTCTCACCACGACTCATATCCAAGATTCTTAACCCGGACCAACCTGGTCAAACAACTGGATCATGAGTGCAATGGTTGAATCAAGCTCAACCCATATACCCATCAGAAGAGTAATCGGGAAACCAATCTCCTCAAACAACGTACTTGACCAAACAAGATACGAGCTAATCAATATTGTTTGTTACCTGAACAATGTAGTCAAAATGTAGCTTTAAAATCTAAAAGGCTATGCTTTTACGCTTTAGACCCTCCAAATATTGTAGCTTTTGTTCAAAAAACATTTTGCAACAAAAGTCTAGAAACTAGTTTTTAAATCACTTTTTTAGGTTTTTGATATCCAGGTATTAGGACAATATTGCAGGGTGTGAAAGTGGTTTAGTTTGAAACAAACTGGACCAAACCTGAGAATCACAGTCCAAAAGTAAAAAAATTAGGTAGAAATTGAACCGAATTGGACTAACCCAAAACTAGTCAACTTCAAATTCAATATGCTCTCGACCAAAAACTTTTCAACCATGGCTTCAACTTGCTTTGATAGAGTTGAATTAAGTAAAAAAAAATTGTCCCCCCTCTCAGAGTAGGATGGAGGAAAAGTTGAAAGAATTAAGACATAAAAGTAAGTAAGATAACATAGCCTAGTGGTGAAACCACTGAATCAATTGAGCTCTGGATGTGGGAGATCTTGAGTTCGATTCCCAGTGGCGCCACTTGAGCGTTCCCGGCGGCACCCTTGGTATCGGAGGCGAAGCCTCCCCGATGTTGGTAGCAGAAAGCCCCAGTTAGTATGTAGGTACCCCAGTGATTTAGTAAGCCCTGTTGTCGCTCAAACGGCATGGGGTTGAGATTCTCTGAGTTATCAAATAAAAAAAAGTAATTAAGATATAAATTAAAGGTAAACCCATGAAAATCATAAAGTCTTCAAAGTTTTTATAAATTAGAAAAGATGGAAAGCGGACCGAGTTTTAACTAAAATCCACACTGAACCTAGCAAACAAATTATAAAAGCAAGTAAAACATACTTCATAAGAAGGACCCACGACAAGAGTATTAGTTGTTGCAGGGGGTGGAGTTTTGTATTGATATTAATTTATATTTTACTAGCATTTTACCCGGCTTTGGCCGGGATTTTTTACTTCTTATTTTATGAATTAGTTTTTTTATCTAAAATTTCATAAAATAGTTATCAGAATTAGAAGTAATATTCTTTTTTATCATTAATAGGAAACTTGATGATATTTTTTTCTAAGGGTAATATAGACTTATTTTTATTATTGTACTTTCAAATATATTCAAATCAGAGACCTTCAGGTTGAAGTCCATCAATATAGTTGTTGGACAAAGTTTTTGTTGCCTTTATGTAAGCATTTTTCTATCTTGGATTCTTGTACATTGTATTTCATAAATATTTGAAGAAATTAGTATGTGCCATAATCAACTTTTATGATTCATTTGTACATTAATTCCAACATTTGGTTATGGTCTCCCTCGCAAGCATACTCTACCAAACCAATTATTAAAATTTAAAATGACTCGAATGTCCATAATTTCTCCATCATATGCGACGTCTCTTAGTCAATGTTTTTCGGATTAGATACTTCCCTTAATATAATTTTTATATTTTAATAATGATATTTGACAACGAACGGAACAAATCTATGTGGTAAAACACGAGAAACGATACATTCCAATTTTACATCTCATTCACCTATTGTAATATGACAAATTCCCTTTCTAGGAACCCGCGAGAATATATACTCAAATGGCATGTGTTAGTTTGTCATATATTTAAAGAATTGGAACAATCTCAACTAGTGCATTGGGTTCTCGTTATAATAAAATTTGAGGTACTTTTACCATGATTAAATACCATAACGTGTCTTGCATACACTTAATATTTGTTGGTTGTTAGCTCTTTATAGGTGTTATATATACATGTTTTCTTGGTTTGAAGTAGAAAAGATGGGAAATAAATGAATAAGTTTATTTTTTGAAAGAAAGAAATATGCTAAATAGAAATGCATATAATTTGTAAAATGAACTGAAATTTTGAAGAAGATGGAGATTATTTTCTAAAATTTATTGTCTAATGAAATGAAGCAATCATTTTAGTAAGTTAATTGGAATAAAAATTTCCCCGTACAAGAGAAAAAGAGAAGGGGAAGACCTTATACTATGCTCAATAGATAAACAGAAAGCAAAGAGAATAAAGGGGAAGGGAGCTACTAATTAATGCTCTAAAATTCAAAAATCATCGCCCGAAATAGGGATGGCAATTTTGCCCATACCCATGGGTATTTTACTATCCAACCCAATTGGGTTGGGTATGAAATCCAAATATATGGATATGGGTAAAGTTTAATGGGTTTGTACCCATACCCATTTACTTTGGGTTGGATTTGGGTTTGTACCCATGCCCAAATACAAATTACAGTTTGGTACCTAAACTTAATAGATATGCATATTTAGTACCTAAATTTAATTTTTTTTGCATATAAGTCCTCAAAATATCGATGGAAAATTACGTTTTGGTACCTAAATTTTTTTGGTCTTACATTTTGGTACCTAAAATTTTCAAGTTTTACAAATAAGTCCAATTTTTGCATGTGTAGTTAAAACACTCTCAAGTAAATGAATATCCATATCCAACCCATACCCATTTAGATAATATCCATATCTAACCCAAACCCATACACACATCACCCAAACCCTACCCATAATAAATGGGTCTACTTGGGTTTGGGCAAAATTACCCATGGGTGGGTAAATTGCCATCCCTAGCCCGAAATTAAACTATAATTACACATTTTTTTTCCTAATTCAAATTGCATCGCCCTAAATCCATCATTACCCTTGCTCTGCTCTGCCCCTCGACGCCGCCAACTCTACTGCTGCGCCACCCACCTCCTTATTGTTTCTGCCCTCGCCATTTTCCTTCTTCCTCTTCTTCCACGCCATTTCCATGGCTAAAAGGCTTCCTTTCTTTTCTTCCTCCGTACCTGACAACTTTACTGCATAAATTATATTTCCCGACGAGAAGCTTCCCCGCTCAAGGAACGAAGTCGGAATCCGATCAATCACCTTCTGGGTTTCTCTCATCGATTAATCATTATCCCTCAACTGTTTAAAAGCGACGACTGGGGGTGTAAATGAAATGCAAAACCCATCTACTGTATTATTGATCTTGAGAATATATACAATAGGATTATAACTTTCTGCCTATTTCTAAGGAAGTGAGAGTAACTAATTAGCTAAAACTAAGGAACAAAATACATAATTGGTAGACAAAGTCAATACACTCTATCACGTCCCCGCAAGTGAAATCTCGGAGAGGTGAAACTTGGAACAGAATTGCTGAAAAGGGATGCGAGCCAATGATTTGGTGAGGATGTCGGGAAGCTGTTCTAGGGTCTATAGGTAATGAATCGAAATTGGTTCTTGGCGATCCCTGGTCACTGGATGAGGCTTTGATATGGTGACAACTTGAGTAGGCTTCATCTCCGACTTAGCAGAGTCGTTGGTGGGGAAAGGAGGACGTACGAGCTTGGTATGATGTCAGTATTCACTGAACTTAATCAGCATGATGCAACAAACTTCGGTAACCATTGTAGCCAAATTTATTTTGTTTGTTAGATTCTAGAGCCATGGGTAGGTTGGAATTTGAAAAAGGTGGGAGGATTAGAAATCAAATTAGAAAGAGAGCAGAGAGATTCTTTTGAGGCAGAGGCACGAGAGGGGAGAGAAGAAAGGGGGAAAACTGAAGGAGAAGAAAGGGGTATGAAAGAGGGAGGCCTGAGAAGATGGTATAAGAAGTGGAACCTCCAACAACTGCTGAAAAGGATCCAACAAGAAGCACGAGGCAGAGAGAGAAAAGAAACAGAGCAAGGGAAAGTAAAGGAGAGAAAATTATAGAGTGTTTAGATCTCAGAGAAGAAGGAGAGGAAGAATAGAAGCAAGGTGTGAGATGGGGGAAAAATAATGAACAACCAACAGTGATGATGAATAACACGATCACGATGTGTTAAAAGCGTAGAGTCCAAGTTGAAGAAAGAAAATAAAAGAGGAAGGCTTTCTTTGTGGCAAAGTAAGTAAGATTGAAGAGAAGGATTTGAAGAGAAAGGAAAGAAAATGCAACGTCTCCATAGAAGAGGTCGACCCAAGCTTCGAGAGACAAGAAAATTATATGTAACATTGAGAAAGGGGAAGATTTCATGGTGAGTGGGTCTTGGGCTTTTCGTAGAGCAATCTGGCAGAGGAAGAGAAAAGAAGGGAAAGTTGTAGTGGTGACTGCGACATTGCATTAGGAAGACGAAACAGAGGAAGGTGGAGAGGAAGTAAAATTCATCTACGGTAGGACGAATATAAGATTGCAGTTGGCAGATGGAGAGGCGGGGTCACCGGCGGCAATGGTGATACGGAGCAGAGGAACAGGTGAAGAGGTTGGAGTGGTAGTTGGGGATGTAGGGGATTAATGGATGGAAGGGAAAAAGGTACCGCGTGAGTGATGGCTCATCCCACCGGCGTGAAAGGAGAGGGAAAGAAAAAGTTTTAGGGTTCCTAGATCTGTAAGCTGTTAAGCAAGAGGCTCTGATACCATGTAAATGAAATGCAAAACCCATCCACT